ATTTGCAGGCAAAACCTCTGAGGTAGACCTTTCTTCTCAAAACAAGGACACTCAGAGGAAACCAATCGAAGGAGCAGAAATTAATACTTCATCGACTGAGGTAGAAATGATCTCTGCTGTAATTACTCAATCAACATCTGGAGAAGAGCAGGAAACTATTAAGAGCATGACTGCCTCAAAATCAAAAAGAAAATGGCTGGAATGCACATACAAAAAAGAAACATGCTCGAGAACTGAAAATTGCCAGCTGTACTTGGGTTGAAAAACCCAAGAGTAAAGGTGAAAAAAAAAGCAATCTCAAAGGATGGATTGGATTGGATTATTAAATTATGGCAAAGCACACGAGGGCTATCTGTCTAAAGGGAGGTATGCCTTTGTGCAGGACTTTCTTATACACGTTACACATGGGAAAAGCCACGAAAACGCCCATGCAGCCAGCCCGTTCGCGGGATTCGAACCTAGGACCAAACAACCAGTGTTCAGCGTCTTTACCGCTCGGCCGCTGTGGGCCCCTCAAAGGATGGAGCAAAATAAAGCCCCGAAGACTACCAAAAGAGACAGAACTGAAGGTTATATCTTCAAGGAGGCTTTTTTGGTGGTCAAGATTGCTGAGGGACATACTGAAAAAAAGTTTATCGGTTGGAACAGTCTACTAAACTTGAACTCCTGATAACATATCTACTTTAGGTATTCTTATTCTTAATACTAAAGAGTTACACCTGAGCTCTATTAAGGGGCTGTAGACTTTACAAACCGCCCAACCGGTATAGTGATTAGCGTGATGATGATTGCAGGAGTGCTCCCCACCCACCTGATCACGAAGTGATTTTATGATCTTAAATGGGCACCCATAAAACCAAAGTGTGTGTATTTAATTATGGCAAAGCACACGAGGGCTATCTGCCTAAGGAGAGGGATGCCTTCATGGAGGACTTTCTAAGGGAAACTGGCTCGTTTACACGTTACACATGGGGAAAACCACGAAAACGCCCATGCAGCCAGCCCGTTCGCGGGATTCGAACCTCGGACCGAACTACCAGTGTTCAGCGACTTCACCGCTCGGCCGCTGGTGGGCCTCCCATAAAACCAAAAACAACTAACCAAGAAAATAGTGATTAGCGTCGCTGATCGCCACGCTGAAGGGCCCGGGTTTGTATCCTGGGGAAGGCATTTATTTTTTTAAATGTATAATGTCGGTGCTGCATGGCGGCACTCTAAATATGCGACGAGCCGGAAGTCCTTTCATGTGGTTTGGTCGAAGAGGAGACTCTCGGAACCTTCCCCACCCCCTCGGGGTGCTGTCCTTCAAAATTGGAGGCGGAACTGAGCTAAATCGCCCTGCCACCTGTTAGGTGCTCATGGCTGTTGCCAACGACAGGCGTAATCTTGCGCTCCTTGTCACTACGTCAGACAAGTGAGCATAAGCAACAACAACAGACTTTACAAAGTGGGCGACCCAAACAAATAGAGCGGTCGCTAGAGGGCTTGATAATACAGGCGTTTTTCCCAAGCTGCAACACAACACCCAAATCTTCTGGAAGTCTGAATAACTCCATCGTTTCAGACTGCAACTTTCCTAATTATAAACTTAAGCAAGATATCACAGATATGCATTTTGAGTAGAATCTTATGAAGGGTTTATTAATGACAAAACACACAAAGTCCATCTACCGAAGAGGAGGGATGCCTTCGTGGAGGACTTTTAAGGAAAATTGGCTCGAGCGTACATTACATACAAGGAAAACGCTAGGGCCATCTACCTAAGAGCAGGGATGCCTTCGTGGAAGGCTTTTTAAGGGAAACTGGCTCGAACATACTTTTGAAGAAAACAGGAAAACGCCCATGTAGGTAACCCGTTTGCTGAGATTCGAACCTCGACCAAACTACGCAGTGTTCAGAAACTTATCTCTCCGCCGGGGAGCCTTTACTGAGGATGGGAAGGATTAAGGATCCATCCAACCAGCAAAACATCGAATCAAGTGATAAATCATTTTTATAAATTTAACAACACAGCCACCTCCAGCCATTTTATATTTTATTTCAACAGAGGAAGCAATTTTCCGAATGTGAAATGTTCACATTTCTTAAAAGCAAATATATTAATGGCATTTCAATTGCAGTTTAATTTTTTTGCATTATTTTAAACCAGACTTTTCCTGTTCTCATTTCTGTAGTTCATTTATTACCCAAAATTAATTTGCATAAAACATGCAACAAGAATATTTGAATGCATACCTCAGGTGATATACGGTTCTAAAGTTCAAATATCTTTATAAATAAAATGATTAATTTGTGTAGTATAATGAAATTTATCAGACTTGCAATTATGAAACGCAGAAATTTAAATTCCGTGTAAAAGACACTTTTTAATACGTTGAAATTTATATTGATATTTTTATGCAAATTTTGCATGTAGTATTGAAATTATATTTTCCCGAAATTAGCTGTAAAATTAGCTAGCAAACAATCGTACGATAACGGTTAAGTATTTATTCGTGTAAAGCTGATATCTAAACGAATTTGAAAGGTAACATAAAAGTACAGAATAGTTTATTTTATTTACTACTATAATCATTAGAATATGCATTCATGGGAAGTTAAAATTTTAACTGATATTCATGAGAAGTTAATTTTAACTGATCATCTTATAAGCCTGAAGAAAACATGGCTTAATTTTTAGTGCTGTGTTTTTCTTAATGTTCTTGCAGTACCGGGAAGGATTACTGGAATACATTTTGACCTTAATTTCTTTTCCAGAAAAGTAATTTTTCAGGATATCAGGATTAAATTCGCTTATATAAGGCCGTTTCATTAAGATCAAAGGAAAGACGTAATCGAAGGAAAACTAATTTTAACTTAATTAAGCAATTTAAGTATAAAAAAAGTTATACAACTTACAATCTCGTAACTGTATAACCTTTACTTGATGCTGAAACTAACGAATTTCTCAAACTCAAATCGTTTTAGATACTGAAAACTAGCATTTAAATTTCAATAAAAGTTAACAGAATTTTCTTACTGCAAAAAAGTTCTAAAAGTACTCAATTAATATTTAATAGTAAAATTTACGGATGCTTTTATTAATATGTATGTAGGAGTTCAAAAATGAAGTAACTACTTTTGTTTTCAGATTTCCGTGGTTCTTAGTACGAAATTTCTCAGATTCATAAATTTACAATTGTTCGTATCTAAGAATCTTCCATTTTTATAGAAGGAGTCTAGAGGTTAGAAAAATTCCCTTACCTACACCGCAGCTGTTACCCCACCACTACCACCACCACTAATAGCTAAGCCTTTAACCCAATTTGATCTCACTTACACAATCCAAATCAAACTTTAAAATACCATGATGTTAATCAAAATCGTAAAAACAACCTTGTATTTAGCGTAGGTATAATAAAACACTCAATCGATTTCGAGAGCAGCTAAAGGTCCCTCCTCATCAGGAGAAAGAAATACCTAGAAACAAGAAAATAAAGGAGAAAGAGTCTCAGAAACACATGGTCCTTATCAGCACTGTACGTGGTTATAACTGGATTTTTAATCAAAGTTGCGCTGGCCGCCTACTTTTACTGAGCCCGGCTATCTGATCAAACATGTAACACAAAGGACAAGAAAAATTAGCGAAGTTAAAAAGGGAGCGAGGGGCAACTGCACCTTCACGCTCAAAATCTGAACTTCAAATAATGGAAAGCAACCACTGAACGGAAATTTATACCCTCTGGTAGTACCAAACGCGAGGAGGTAACGCCATCTATCAGCAAAAATAGTAACTGAATTAAGATAGTAGAATTTTAAAGCATTAGGAAGAACTGGATTGGACTTAAATCATTAACTACACATGCTAAATCTTTGTGAATATGAAAAGCCTCACGAAAATCGAAGTTCACCAATGGAAGAAGCTTTTTAGATAATTTTTGCAGATTCAAAGTCAAAATTATGATTCGATTTCCAACTATGATACGCTATTGAAGACTTGTTAATTTCACCTTTTCGGACATAAGATTCCATGTTCCTTGATACGAAACTTTAACGCTCTTTTGTTTGGCCAATATATCTCAAGCCACACTGACACGATATACTATTCCCCAAGAATTCAGACAGGAACGCATCTTTTAGAATCGAAGGGTGAATTTTATAATAGGGGAGAAACCGACTTGAACTTGAATTTCTGGAAATCCGTGCAATTTATAGCTAACAGAAGGATAAAAAATGGAAGCACGACAAGATCATTAATATTATTTCCAACAGTGGAATGTCTTCTTTGAATGGAATCTGAAAATTTTTTAACGGCTTTATCAATAATCACGGGAGAAAATCCACGGTCAATCGCAACTGCTCTCAAATAATTCAGTTGCGACTAGGTTTCCATAGGTGAATTGGAGTTTCTTGAGGCTTTTCACATTCACAAAGATTTAGCATGTTTAGTTAATGATTTTAAGTCCAATCCAGTCCTTCCTAATGCCTTTAAAATCCTACTATCTTAATTCAGTTATTTTTGCCGATAGATGGCGTTACCTCCTCGCGTTTGGTACTACCAGAGGGTATAAAAATCCGTTCAGTGGTTGCTTTCCATTATTTGAAGTTCAGATTTTGAAGGTGCATTTGCCCCTCGCTCCCTATTTTTAACTTCGCTAATTTTTCTTGTCCTTTATGCTTGATCAGATAGCCTGGCTCAGTAAAAGTAGGCGACCAGTGAAACTCTGATTAAAAATCCAGTTATAACCACGTGCAGTGCTGATAAAGACCATGTGTTTCTGAGACTTCTCCTTTATTTTCTTCTTTCTCTAGGTATTTCTTTCTCCTAATGAGGAGAGACCTTTAGCTGCCCTAGAAATCGATTGAGTGTTTCATTATACCTACGCTAAATACAAGGTTGTTTTTACGATTTTGATTGTCACATTAGCGTGTTTCTCTTCTAGTCTACCTTGATGTTAGTTTAAAATTTGTACGGAAACAAACAAAATGTTTTCAAGACCGTTATTGAAAGTGCCAAAAAATTATGCTACATGAATTTATTTCAAGTTTTATAAATTGCACATCAATATTGATAATTAACTCAGTTTGAAACTTCAGATTAGAGAAAATTTCATAATAGGACCATTTCAAATATTCGTTATTGAGCATTTTCTAAATTTACTGCATTCTCAGTGGGTGTACTTTATCTTCGTAAGTAAAATGAGTAACTCTTGCAATAATGATATATATCCGAGTTAAAAACTTCCCGCAGTTATTTTGCTGAAGTAAAATTCTCATTTCCATCTTCAAACTATGGCACAAGTGTTACATATTGCATACATGTTTTCACTGGTTGTTATACAGGCTTCTAGATCTTGGGCAATTTAACGTATTTCATTTCTGTGACTTATTTTTAATACCCTCCAATATTTTAGGCAAGATTTTAGTCTAAAGTAATAATGCATGTGAAAGTCTTTTTATTATATTGTTCGATTATATTTGCCTTACGGCATGTCATTGTATTGAACGGTGGTATAAATGGATGTCCCCAGTAAACGTTCACAGTTCTATCTGAATACTGGAAAGCTTTGATGTTTAGCTCGGGATTCACAATTCTTTCAATAATGGGCATCGATCTAATAGCAAATTTATGCGATAAGTCTAGGACTGGAATTTCTAGGTCTATATAGCGTTCATTTATGAAGTCAGAGAGCTCATCCGATACAATAAACTCATAATTTTCCATTGGGTCTTCTAAATTAATATAATCTTCATGCAAATATCTCCCCGAAAATGATTTTGGCGATGTATCATGCAGCTCTTCAGCTCTTGTAGTTACGGATTTTAGCACGGGAGTTTCAGAACCTGTAATTTCTGACTTAGCATTCGCTTCCTTCCCACTTGCAGAATGAACGTGAGTTTTGATCTGCATTTTGGATACATCATGATTATTTTCTCCGATTTTTCGTAAGAATTCAGTGATATTTACAGATTCTTCATAATTCTCATTTTTAGAACTGTAATACTCTTCTAAGTGCATTGATTCTAAGTCTTTCAGTCCACTTTTTTCTTCGGTATCGAGAGTATTTGGTTCTATAATGGTTGTACGTTCTTCTTGCTGATTTCTTTCAATGTCTAAAGAACTATAGTCAGGATTATAGTTCTTCAAGACGTCAGCACATAGTACATAAGTAGTCTGATTAGCAAGAGTTGCCAACGTACACAAATATTTCATTTGGTTAAAATCCATATCCACCCAGAACACAAGAGTGTTTCCCTGCCTAAAGTTACGAAATTCTGATCTACTCTTGTTCTCCTCTGGTTTTATAAATGAAATTGGTATTTCAAAGTTCTTGCTTTGCTCATTAGCTAGCCGAGTTAGAAAAAGATTGTGCAAATCTGAATCAAGGTCTCTGTCTCTCGACATTTTTTTAACCTTCGTGCCTAATATTTGTTCCCGATTATCAGTCTCCTCAGTAGAATTTGGAGCATGTCTTTTAAAATCTTTGCTCTGGCTGAATGCATTATACTGCAGTTCTCTGTTTATAACACATGCTTCTTCAGATTCAGATTTTTCACAATCTGGGAACTTCAGATAGTGGTCGAGCTCCGATTTAAGGCTCCTATCGTCTTGGGTATAATCATGTGAAGTTTCGATGCCGTAGTGTTCTTCCCTGTTAGCATCTGAAGTATCCGATGTACTTCTCTGGCTTGGCACATCAATGTTTTTTTCACCAACATTTCTGGAAACAGATGAGGTTTCAGAAACTTCTCTGAAGTTATGCCGGTCTGCTTCGCAATGAGCGTTTTCGTCATGAATATAATCACAGTATGTTTTAGTAAGTTTCGAAATATTTGATACCAACGTGCTATGGACTTTGCCAATTTCTTGTCTTACATAATTAGTTTGAGAGCTATTTGATTCTTTAACATCCATTAGATCATTCTTTAACTGCAGTTTTTTGTCCAAGGACTCTGGGTGTTGACGTTCATGTTCTGAATCGGAGCCTATCCTATGTTTTAACAAATATGAAGGTTTAAGTTCCGTTTGGGCATCCTCTGTTTGGTTATCTGCTATAGCACATGTAAAATCATCAGTTTCTAAAATCAAAAGATGTCGGGATAAGGCTGCAGCATCCTCACCACAAATGTCTAAAATGGTTTTGTAGATACAAGTCGACAATTTATCACGAACCCTGAAACAGAAAATTAGAAATCAAACCACAAAAATGCGAAATGAAAGTTATAGCCTCAACAAGGGAGTAGACTACGGAATTATCAATCTTATTTCAAAATTCTGAAAAACGTTCTTGAATCTCAAAGAAGATATAAAATTAAGTATGATTTAACAGCAATGTCCTGCGAATATAGCTGAGTACATTTTATGAGCAACAAGCTCCGTTATATCAGCTTAAGTAACCATCAATTAGAATATTTTACTATTATATGCATTGCTAGAGCCCTTTCATTACGAAGTAATATTTTTTTTCTTTAAATAACACATTACTATTCGTATATGAGAAAAAAGTTCTAGTCAGTGCTCAATGACTTCATACAAAAGTTCTAATGAGCAACAGAGCGGTAAAATTGTTGAATACTGGTAGTTAGATTTCGACGAAAGAATTGGTTGCATGGAGTTTACATATGTGTAACGTACCAGTTTCTCTTTAGAAAAACCTCCCCGAAGACATCCCTCTCCTTAGGCAGATAGCACTCAAATGCTTTTTGCCGCAATTACATAAACCAGTTAATGAGCAACTCTCTTGAAACAAGCCGCCGGAAATGTGATAACCTACTCTTTCTATTTCACCGCCGATGGACTCGTACCAGCAACGATGTTTAAAGTAAAATTATTTTACAATTTACCGGTCATTAAATAAGAATCGTATTATCTTTAGAGTTAGCTTAAGTGCAAGCGTATCAATGTTTAAAGTTTCGCTGCGCACAATGATGAAAAAATCGCAGTAAAATTAGAATATGAAATTTCTGGCTTCCTTGTGCAGATTAAAGATTTAAATACCGTGAACTGTAAATCAGAAACACATTGTTTTCTTTTAAAGTTATTTGGATATGACAAAGTATACTAAAGCTGTTTGCCTAAGAAGAGAGACCTAGAAGGAAAGATCTATCTAGAGAAGATATTCCTTTATGGAGGATTAACTGAGGAAAACTGGCTCGTACTCACGTTACACATGTGTTGAGTCTCGCAAATAAACCATGCAGTGAACCCATTCGCCTGGGATCGAAATACCAGTATTCAGCGGTTTTAACCACACGACCACTGGTCGAGTTTATGCAATCGCTGGAACAGGAGACATTTTCTTAACATTTGGAATTCGACCGGGTGCTACAAGAGCCTTAGGATTTGCTTTAAGTTTGTTCTAAGATAAACCGCTTTAAGCATTCCATTTAAAACGAGAGATATCAGATTTTCATTTCGTATATTTATAACAATTGTGTATTAATAACATTAATTTCAATATAATGTTAATAAATGTTTAAAGTATAGGATGAGGAACTAATACTTTGCGTCATGAAAAGGTTAAGTAGAAATAGGGTATAGCGACAAAGGAAACCAAACCCAAAATTTGAAACGTTCATCTTCCTGTTTTGAAAATTTAATGAGATTTCTATGCATGCGCAGTATATTCGAAGTACTACTTGACAAAATGAAGCATATAGAAAATATATGTTGTGGACACCACATGACTTCTTGTACATTGAATCAATTCAGTTTTCACATCACAATAAGGCACAAAAATACACAAAAACTGAAAATATCTTCATTAAAAATAGTAAAATATAGAAAAACCTAAAACACTAAATATAGGTAAAAAGTATTTTTGCAATAAAATTTGCAGTTTCTTCGCAACAACAAGTAATTTAGAAAACGGAAAGAAGGACAGAATTTTCGGTCGCAAAAATTTAAAGTTAACCATTGGTACCACTGTACAAAAAGACACTGAAGCTGATGCACCAACTGACTTAATTCACTACACTATTAAGTGTATCAAATGTAAACAAATAGTCGCCACAAGAGGCTTAGTGCCTCGTACAATTTTAAACTAAATACAGAGCTTACCGAGTCGGGCAAGAGTGTGGATATCTAACGTAATAAACATGTATATATATACGTTTGCTCCTGATGATTGCAACAAAAAAAGAGGTTAAAAACTAGATGTTATAGCAGTCCCATATACAAAATTTAAATGTTCTACGGCTAATCGCTTTTGAGTTAGGCGAGATACTTATGTACACACTGTGTAATATTTTATCATTTAACAAATAATTACATTTATTAACCTTGATATTGAAGTGGAAAATCGCGCAATGTCAGAAAATGCTTAAAAATTATTATTCTGAAAGTTTTACTAGTTTGGAGATGTATGAAAAATTTATGAAGAAAAAAAAACTGTAATAGTAAACCGGAGTGTGAAGCTGTAACGGATAAAATTCTATTTAAATTACCTATCTTCGTGAATTGAGAATAAAATTTTACATTTTACGAAGAAGCTCATCTGTTATTTCGTTAAATACTGAAAAATACGTTACAATACATACGTAGTAGTAGTAACAAAAAAATCACCCTTGAATCCATTTTAAATCCATTTACAATCCGCTTTGGAAAAAACGTCCTTTATTCTGTTGTCATTCAAATGGGTTCGAGAACGGTCAAAATGAATATTTCCTTTGAAATACGATACCCGGAATTTTCCGCTATTTAAATACTTTATTTCGTACAAAGAAGTAAAAATACAAATTTAACTTTTTTCAAATTTCATCCAAATGTTCAATGTTACTGAAAACTGTTTTTAGGAGAGGGATGGGATCATGCACCATGTAACTCATTCATTTTGTCGCAACTGTAGCCTAAACGTGAAGTTTAAAAGTTCATGATTAGAATGCAAATACTTACAAGCATTTAGTAGATACATCTAACAAATTTCTATCAACTCCAATAACAGCTGAAGTACATTTGTGAAAATCTTGATTATTAATACATGGAACACTTTCCAGATACTCTGTAAAAGAAAATTACTTATTAAAAGCACATTAAAGAAAATTACCTAACCGATTTTCAACATATAGGATTAAAATATAAAATTGAAAATTCAACAGTTACAGGAAGTAATCTGTATCCCTTAACGGATACAGATTACTTCCTGTAACTGTTCTCGTACTCTTTTAAGAGTACTTTGGACTGTTAGGTGGTACGGGTCTCCCCTACAATCAATACAATTAATACCTACCTAAGCAGTATTAAACACAGTTTCAAAAATTGGTCACTAACGAATTTGAGCATTAAATAGTAGGATGAAAAATAGGTTTAACTATTACGGATGGATCATGTATATTAATAATAAAATTATTCTTTGGGAAAGCTTCAGATATATATTAGAAATATAGAAAGAATTCATTTAAAATCCTTAGTAGTTCCACAAATATATGAAAGTATCGAGAAACCTCAACCATCTGATAACAGTTTCAAGTTCAGCTGCATTCGTGGACTACGTTACTTGGCCAGTTTCTAAACAAGCAATAATAAGGTACAGATCCCCTTCAAAGAAATGGAGTTTTTTTATTTTTTCCGAAATGTTCTATATGACGCTTACAGGAAATAAGATTAAAGGTCATGGATCTTCTATTTTCCACACGTTACAGATAAAGTCTAAATGCTATATACTTTTCCAAGTACTCATTTTGCCTTTTATTGCCTTTCAAGGCAGTTTTAATAACGGTGGAAAAATATTTGTCAGATAACAAGCATAGTTACACGTTATCAGGTTTTAGAATCCGATGAAGTTTACCGCTTTATGAATATATACTCCGTAAGTTAACTATTTTAATTGCGAAAAAGCTGAGAGAGCAAAAGTAATAAGAATGAATGAAAAACAAGAGCTCGCTATAATAATGCAACATAAAATGGTAACTGATAAAGTTTTAAAAACCTTGGTATAATTTAGATTACATTTAAGGCTTTTGCGGTACATATTTTAAGTACATATCATATTGAAAACTAATCTGAAATAATATACTCACTCATCCGCCATCTAGATGTTGATCCTGGTGTGTATTCGCACAGGTCGAACAAAAACATTCGATTGCTCAATACGTACATCTCCAATGTAGAGGGTCCAATGTAGCATGATTTTGCAGCTTCGGCTATACAGTTCATAAAGTGGCTTTGATGTCTAAAATTAAATGGGATATTGAAGTATTTAAATCAAAAGGAAAGTCAGAAAAGGAAATCTGACAACTCAACACTCGAATAATTATATGAAAAGAAAATTGTTCAAGCTTCACTTTGCAAAAATTCATCAACTCCGACTCAATTTAGCTTCAAAAGAATGCAAGCCAAACATGATATAATATAAACTTTGTTTTCATTCTAATATGTTTCTGTTTTGTACAGAGTGAAAAGTGCGGTAGAAACCTTTCCATAAATCGCCGGATTTGATAATAAAATTCGTTAAGCCATGAGCAGTTATGTACACGGGTCATTTTAAAGATATCTATGAAACGATGTTTGTAAATTTTGTAGGACTAGTTTCGGTAGTTTATATATAGAATCATCATCTTCTGACTAAGTGCAAATGAACGAGATAGAAATGGTGATAAGGATGACCATCTATTGATGAAAAACGAAAACAAACAATTTCCTTTAAGGTTTCATTAACTACTTACTTTCTTTCTCATATTTCGTTGAGAAATGCGTTTGATTAAATCCTGATTTATTGAACCTACTTATTCGGATACACGAAAATAAATTATTTCTGCGAACCCAGGTAAATAAGTTCGAGAAGTTTTTTTCGGATGTTAATGCAGCAGAATATATCAGGTACAGTTCTGAGTTAAGACAGATTAAAAGAGGTTAAAATACAGAATACAAATATTGCCGAAAAAAAACTACTTTGAATTTTTATTTGTGCATTAAGGGGTTAAGAAAAGAGAAGTTACATGTAATTTATATTTGTTCCCTGTTATTAAAGACCTACTGCCTGCCTTATCACATTTTAACCTGAAGATGCACAAATCATCATTGATAAACACTTCGATAATACTTTGATTTTATCATAGAAGCCAGATATTCCATTGCTCTATGTAGTGTAAAATTCTTTATTTTTTAGAGCCATTTACTTTCTGCGCTAGTAAAGTCTATGAATTTGACAAAATTAATCGCATCAAAATTATTTGAATTTATTATTGAAGATATTGAAGTATATTACTTTGAGATTTAGTTATCTCATCATTCAGTTTCTGAAACAAGTTTTCTGCAAATCCTTTTAAGCTATTCCCATGATTAGTTGAAGTTTACTTACATTATTTGTTACGAAATCTCAACGTGTCAGATGAGAATACAAGTAGATGCAAACGTCAAGTTCGACATTTTTAAAACCTAGTTTAGGTGAAACTTAGACAGTTTTGAATTGATCATTACGAAAACCTTTAAATACTAAAAGACTTCAAAAATTTGACAACTTTTCAAGTCTGTCTACAGCATTTAATAAACAAAATGCAGGCTAGTTCATCTAAATATGGCAAAGCACAGGAGGGTTATCTAGCCTAGGGGAAGAGAGGTTTGGAAGTCTTTCTAAGGTAATCTGGTTTTGTAATCCCGTTACACACGTGGAAAACGAACCAAGCAATATGCCCCTTCGCCTGGGATGGAACCCGAGTCGAACGCCAAATATTCAACGTTCTTAACCGCTTGGCTTCTGGTAGACCCAAGTTTTGGAGGAAAAATATGAATTTCGTTAAATCAAGAAAGTCATTAAATTCTAATTTAATAAATAGGGATGTCTGTTTGAAAATATTAATTGAGCAGTGCTCAAGCTATTCCATGTTAGGTATTCAAAACTTATGTAAGTTCTAATGTAGAAAAGGGTGTCATTTGATCTAGCGTCAAATACGAATTTCTAGTAACTCACAATTGACTCTTTCCCCAATGTCATGAAAGGCATATTTTGTTTCGTGCTAATGCTTTTCTCAAGTTTGATCTCATTCGAAATTTTTAGTTTACTGATCGAAGACTACATGATTTATCACATACTACAAATCACGTATTTTGAATTATTGAAATTTTAATTGCCGTTAATTGATCTTTGTTTTCGTTGGTTTTAATTAATCGCTGTCCCGTCACTTCCACAAAGAACTGACTGATAAGATATTTTTTTCATATTTACAGTGAATGGATATGAAAGCTGTAACAAATAACTGATTGGTGTACGAGTGAAGGTTTAATTAGTTCTCGCTATGAATGTCGTCAATTTTGTACGAAAGATATTCCTCTGGTCCACCTGAAGGGTCAGTTGGATGGCAATGAGTGAGTTTGTCAATAGAAAGTGCCCGAAACGCTGATACCAATGCTATTAAGTTGTATGTGAAGCCACATTAACCGCGAGTTTTGCAAGAGCGATCCTCGGCAATCGTCGGATGACATTTTGTATTCCTAATTTTTCGGAGTTTATGTGGCATCACCAGTATCAGGATGAGGAGAAAAATTAATTCCGGAAGTACATTATTTGCATTATATATGTGCAGCAGTCATTTGGCGCTGACGAGACGTAGCTAAGAATACCACTGGAATTAATTTTATTATTATTTTTGTAACATATGTTTTCGGTTTTGTTTTGGATTATAATCATGTTGAAATATTGCTTCTGGGCACCATGGTTTGCATCATAAAAATCGCCAAAAATATTAAAGGCAGAAGATTGTAAACTTTTACCCTTATCTAGATAGCCTGTTTCGAACCAAATTAAGACATATTCATTTGCTTTTGCGTATTAGATTTAATTTAAGAATTTGAATGTTTTGCTTTAATTAAATAATTTATATACAGAATTACTTTACTTCAAATCTATTAAAATTTAATTCACCAAGTAATGAATCATTTTATGTATATTTAAAAACTAGTTTCATACTGTAATTTAGCATAAAAATTAGCTGTCGATTTTTTAGTCTGCGTAAATGAAAATTTAACTTCAGACCGAAATTATTTGATGTTATGCATTTAAAAAGCAGCTATGTACAATATTTGACGAATAAAGTATTAAGTGTGCTGTTTTCCAAGAATGAAAACGTTAATTGTTGTAATCTCTGATAACAGAATATAATAAAATTGCATTTCTTCCTAAAAAAAAAAGTGTTCAATCGACGATCATTTCAAATAAAATAAAAATTTCTTACCTGATTCTTGATTAGAAGAGTTTCAGGGCAGTAATTGAACCTATTTAGATATTAATCCTTTATTTGCACAACATGATCAGGCACAACTTTACGCTTTTGACGATATATAATATAATGTTAGCTACATTCTAAACATTAACAAGATTTTAAAACAGTTATGGTGGATCAGCGCCATCTATCGGCTATATTTCACAACACTTCAAATAAATTAGGTTAATCTTTGGATTATGGTAACTTGGCGACTTTTTGGTGAAAATTTGGCGACCAACCCTGCTACAGCAACCTGCTAGTTCTTGTTTGCACGCCATTTTGTTTTCACGAAGTAAAGACTTTTTTTTTTTTTTTTTGTTTGTTTTTACTCAACATTTTTTTCCCAACAATCTGCTAGCCGAATGACGCTTATGCTAGAACTTTTATGGAACAAAAGTGCTTAATCATGACGAAGATTAGGTGCAAATTGGGAGAAGGTGCAGAATCGCAAACTGCTTGCCACATTTTTAAGAATTGCACATACACGGTATCCATGTACACGTCGACCTATTTTCACTTAAAAAAACATCCCAGAATTGCACAAAAATGGCATTGCGCACACTCTTGACTTTATCCATGTACACTGCTAAAGTCCTAGCTAGTAACCTTTATTGCCTTACCAAAATGTCGCCAAACTATTCCAAAGATTAGCCCAAAATTACGTAATTAGTCCTTACATAGTAGAAAACGGAAGAACTTTCCTACTATCTCGGTGATGGATTTTGGATATTAAGAGGACAACATATACATTTAGATTTGAGATATTCCAGACATTGCGCGAAGAGCAGGATATCTATCCGCCATTTTTTTTATACCTATCGAAACCAAAGGTGTTAAGCACTCGAGGGCTATGTGCCTAATCAGAGGAATGCCTGGAGAACATTCTAAGGAAAATTGCCTTGTACACACGGGAAAAACCATGAAAACGCCCATGCAGCCAATTCGTTCGCCTGGATTTGAACTCCCGACCTAACTACCAGTGTTCAGCAACTTTACCGCTCCAATGTCAGAAGAAATAACTCGCTATAAATACAGCGGACCATTTTCCCATCTGGTACGTGCACTAAACTACGAAGACTAAAGTTATACCGAGAATAAGAGTTTAATAAAAATGAACTTTGTAAAATCGTTCTTTACATTCACTCCTCCCGTTTACATCTACATTAATTTACATCTATTCGTTGCCCTGCGTTTGCAACACACTTTAGAATTGTCTTCCGTAGAATTCGGTCGTTAGAATGTAGCTGATCTGTAACTGTTTTTATACTTATCTGCAATTGAAGAATGATATTGGATTATTATTAAAAGTTTATGTATGCATATTTAATTATATGTTTACTATTTGATTGGTATAAACTGGTAGTAGTTGAATTTGTTAAAGTTGTTTCAAAACGTAACTTCTCAGTCAACTTCAGCGCCATCTGATTAACGGACAGTAATGGAAAACACCTCAGTGAATGCTTGCGCTTAAGTTCATCCGAAATTTAAACGTTTTAAAATCCTAAAAGACAAAATTAAAAGTATTTTTTTTTCACATACTACACTGATTTGAGTAATAACTTTAAATAAGCGAGTTTTATATTAAATGCTTTCAGAAGAAATGTTATATAAACTAACTGAATTTTAATGTACTGTTTAGTTTTGTAGTATTCTTATCATAATAGTTACATTTCTTTTAATTTTCGTGCCTCATTTCTTAGGTTTAACTATTCTGAGCACGTAAGTTAAAATTTCAAATAATTTTGCAAATACTCAAAAGGCAGTGTTGTTACGAAATATTTCGAAGCACAGCAAATTTAGAAGGAATCATTTTTCGTTAGGTTAGGTTATTTTAATAGGCAGAGCCTCGAGGGTTATCTGCCTAAGGGGAGCGATTCCTTCGTGGCGGACTTTCTAAGGGAAATTGGCTCGTATACACGTTACACATGGGGAAAACCACGAAAACACCTGTGCAGCCAGCCCGTTCGCGAGATTCGAACCTCGGACCGAACTACCAGTGTTCAGCGACTTAACCGCTCGGCCGCTGGTGGGCCCTCTTTCCCGTAAGAAAGGTTTTAAATTTCATTCAGCTTCCAGTATAAGAAATCAATTCTTTCTCAGCCATCAGTCCAACAGCACTTTTCTTTTGCACATTGAAATTCCTTAGTGGCTTCAGAATGACAGCAAGGTGGGCAAGTTTCAATGACTTCAGTCAAAATGACGAAATAAAAATTGCTTTTGCGTAACCAGAACATTGTTTAACAGCTACATTTTATTTTTTTCAAATATTTAATGCCAAAGCAAGTTTATTGAGTATCGTCACTTTTAAAATTGCTGAGTGGCTGAAATAGGACGGTCTTACTTAAACTAGAATTCACCCTTTGGCGACTTGGATTCCTACCAAATATGAACAAATTGGTTCATGAAACACAGAGTTATTACATCAGTATTACGTTTATGAGTTGGGTTAATGACAAAATGAAGAAAATTTCGGTTAAAATGAAAGGGGTTAAAACGAACTTGAAAATTTACCCACCACCCCCCCCCCCCCCCCCCCCCCCCCCCCCCCCCCCCCCCCCCCCCCCCCCCCCCCCCCCCCCCCCCCCCCCCCCCTAACTAACCCCCCCCCCCCCCCCCCCCCCCCCCCTCCCCCCCCCCCCTCCCCCCCCTCTCCCCCCCCCCCCCCCCCCTCCCCCCTCCCCTCCCCCCCCTCTCCCCCCCCCCCCCCCCCCCCCCCAAATACTAAAAAAAATATGAACTTTATATAAACAAAAATTGGTCCATGAAACACAGAGTTATTACATCAGTATTACTTTTATGAAGTTAGGGGTTAAAATGACAAAATGAAAATTTCGGTTTTTAAGCTGAACAAATAATACAAAAACCAATATGCGCCAACTTTGAGTATTGGCTACCATTTAAATATATTCTTATCTCTTAAGTACTGGTAATGAAGAAATATCGAAGAAAATAAACACAAATCTTTTAATGGTACTTCAAATTCCCATATCTAGAATTTGAAAAACTAAGCGTATTTTCGTATTAAATCGGTTATTATTTATTAACAACGACAACATGAAACTCTAATAATCATATTTAAATTCTAGGTCAAAGGAAAGAAACCTTTGTCATATGGAGTATTTTAGAGCTGTAACGAAATATGTCTTATTTTGTCGTTCTAATGATACTCAATTAAGCTATTCAATCAAAATTACGAGATCTGAATTTTATGACCTTTATTTACTGAGTTTAATCTTTAAACTGCAGTACAAGATTTTTTAATATGCTTTTCTGCTCTCTCTTTACCGCGAGTTCCCAATACACTATTAACTCTAAGAAGCTTTACTGCTATTCTTGAATAATCCTTGAAACTTCAACATAATAAATAAATGTTGAAAATAATTCAAACTTTTATAAAGCGTGAAATATACTTTTCTTTTAATGAGAACAGAGTTTACCTATTTTTTCTGTTTCACTTTCAGAATACTGCAACATTAGCACGTTGACTGCAGTGGAGGCCACCGTGGACCGGTGGCGCGACCGATAATGAAAATACATAATTAGAGTAAATATCGATACTAATAAATTTTTAAATAATTCAGTTGTTACTATAATGGCTAGAAAAAATATATATAGCGAACATTAAAATAATAATAATAATAATAAATTACAAAAATGGTCTTCGGTGTCTCGGGATCCGGTGAGTCCCACCACGATAAATGCATTAAACACGATTATATAACTCACCTTATCTTCTGGTAATAATTCAACATAATATACATCGAATAATAAAAACTTAATGTTGGCGTGACACTTAATGGTCAAACCATGTAAAATGCGCGCGGCAGTCAACGTGTTAATGTACTTTAATGATAACTTAATTGCAAGGAAACTTGAAGTCTTTCATATTCAATGCCGCTATTAAAAGCCGCTAAGAAAATTTACAGGACATATTTGACATTCCACAGCACATCATCCGTGCAGTTTAAGGGAAATTCAGCTGTTAGTATATTTAAATTTTTCCAAAGCATCAAAGATTTCATTGAAAATAAAATTAATTTATATAGTCCTTACCTGCATGTTAAATTGAGAAGTTCAGTCGTCTCAGGTAAGCGACTGTGACTAGCCAGAGGAGCTCTTAACGGAGAGCATTTCAGAACCTCTTGAATGCAGGTTCCGCAACTTATCAAAGAAATACAGCCTGTAATTAAAATAGAAGGCCATTCTGTACTAAGCAGAAGTCTCAGTAAATAATGGAACCAAATTTATATTAAAAAAAAAAAGAAACATATCTTACAGCATAGCAAAAGCAAGCCTAAAAACCACATACTTGCTCACGAAACTTGCAACAAGCGAGAACGCAATGTTCCGGCCTGTGATTTTAAAAGTATAATTCACGTGACTGCAAGCATTAGCTTCTTAATCGATGTGTTCTGAAATTCTTCACTTCGTGTGTGACAGACAGCGCAGTATACGGTAAATATATAGTAATGTACATCGAGAACTTATAGTCTTATAAAACTATAAACAGCTAGGCGTTTAATACATTTTATTTATTTATTAGCCCAAAGTGGTAATTTGCCCGGAAGGGCTATTAATTTCGTTTTGGGATTTTGCTTCGGTTCTCTATAAATGTCGGTTCACTTTTCAAATTGTTGCCGTCAAATATTAGGATTCTGCATAATATTTAAGGAAATTAAATAATGGAGAATCTGCGTGAATGTATGCATGTTTCTCGCAATTTGAAAAGCAACGATAACTAGAGATATCAAATTTTTAATAACGTACTCTTCCATTCGAATATGGACATCTGGAAGCCCAGATTTGGAATTTGTTTTATTATGTATTTCCTGTTTTGTCAAACATTAAAGGACTTTTTATTGACAATCTCAACGATTTCAAAGCGGGCAATGGCAATACTGTATGAAAAATATTATCTCCAGGGCGCAAGACCATGTATCGGAAATTCTAAAGATATACTCTTTTAAATATTTTGTGATATTGCTGTTAAATTGAATTTTATGGATTAAGCACGAAGCACATGATATTTAATAAGTTAACGCACAGAACGTTAAAAAAAGTCCCTTTGGGTGTAATATAAAATCTGAAAGCTTTCAGATTTTTTTATGTAATTATTTTTTGGTTATCTAAATGTTAAAACAAATGGTAGTATTTTCTCTTATACGTTTATATGTTCTACCTGCATAATAAATTTAAAATTGGATTAAACTGAAAATATCGTCAGCACCGCGTAACCTAAAAATGGTTTAGTTTTGGTTTATATAATTATGGCAAAGCA